GCACCGTTTGGTGACTGGGGGCAACCACAATGCACCATATGCTTCAAGGCAGCTAAAAAAGGCCTTGAAGTGTTCTCACCACGAAGAAAAGATTACTGTTTGAGGTGACGGGTGTGCTGAGTAGCTTGCTTCGACCGTTCTGCAGTGCACACATGTCCTAAAACAGCACACTGTGTCCCTACGCGCACACGAAGGATTGGCCGCTGAGGGAAACTGCCAGGGAGGGAGGGCACGCCTCATTGTCCAGGCTGCCTGCATGATGAGCCTCTGTGTCCCTAACCCCCAATCGAACCACACATCTTGACAATAAAGAATTTAAAAATTTTTTAAAAGCGAAAAAATAAAAATAAAGTTTTTTTAAACCGTAGCCTTTCCTCCATGAAGCTAAAGTTCCTCCACAAATCACACGAGGCTGTTCCCTGCAGCTCAAAAGCCACAACTTTTTACTACAAACACCTTCACCCAGCAAGTTTCATGTCTTATCCAAATAGCATTCTATGTTTATCGTACTGTTCCCTCCTTTATTTGGAACGTGTGGTGCTGAGAGCTGTGGATGCCTTTCTGGTACCATATCACTTAGAAACCTCCAGGTTTGGAGTTTTCTGCCCAGCCCATTTCCCACAGCCTTCTTCCTTTTGGAATGCAAGATTCCGTTACGCAGAGAATATTTCTAGGAACGCGGCTGCCGCATCACGGGAGAGACTGCTGTGCTGGCCGCAGTGACCGGGCCCACACATCCTGCCAGTCCGACCCCCTCCCGGTGGCTGGCAAGCCACACTTCTCCAGCCCCGGCAGACAGTCGTGTGGGAGACACCGGGGCTGGCGCGGTCCTCTTCCACGCTGGGTCGGAGCAGGGAGCGCTGCACTGCAGCGTCTCCTTAACGGGCACGGCCACACTGGGCAGGGCCTGCCCTCGTCATCAGGACACAATGTCTCGGGTTCGACTAGGACCTCGCAGGCAGCCAATGCCCAGCTGGATTTCATGGCAGGTCTTCACAGCCACTTTGCCCAGACTCCTTTCCTTTCCCCATCCTCATTCTCATTCCTGCTCTCACAAGATGACCACTAAGAAGTGTGCTGTGGGACTGATTAATGTCTCCTGGTTTGGACAAACTGGACCCTGTCCTGGTCAGAGGCCGGGATGGTTGGCGGTGAGGTGAGGCTGCCGTCTTTAAAAGTGATTGGCCAGCAGAGTTTTGCTTCACTTGTAACGTTTAATTTGGCTGCAGGAAGGTTAAAAACGTGCAGGTAAGCCGCAGCCTTCATCCGACGTCGGCCATGATTCC